TTTCTTTTTCTCCCAATAGTATTATTGAATCTATATTAGAACATTTCACAACCCTTTATCTTATATGTGCTAGAAGGTGGGGGCATGAGTGTCAACTGTGTTGAGAGCAAAAGACTTTTTCATCACTGTTAAATTGAAGGGCTTTATAACCAAAATTTTGCAGAGGCTCTTAATATGAGTATACTGGTCATGTATCCCTGTCTCACCCAAGGCAAATGGGTTACCCCCTTGGTTCATTCCCTTCTCAAGTTGGACTCCGTGGTGGAGCACAGGGCCAGTGAAAATAAAAACCCAAACATGGCATCCTTAAATAAAAAAAAAAAAAAAAAAAAACTAAAAGAAATTTATCCAAATCAGACTCTGAGTGTGAAACAGCAGACTTTCCCAGATTCATTATCATTGAATCCCTGGAAGAGGTCTGTCTTGCTAAATTCTCTCCATTTTTAATTGAAAAAATTATCTCTGCATGAGCAACACCAAAAAATGTTAAAAAATTGAGAAATGGAAACTTGCTTGTTGGGGTGGATAACAGGAGATAAGCAGAAAACCTCTTAAAAATGAAAAGATTTTATAACTCCAAATGTAAAACTTATCCACATGAGAGACTTAACACTTCCAAAGGTGTCATCAAAAGTTGGGAGTTGACTTTAGCCTCGGAAGACGAGATAAGAGATGCCCTGGGAAAACGGGGAGTGACAAATATAAGAAGAGTGACTATAAGAAAGGGTGATGAAAAAGTCGAAACTACATATTGACTTTTAACCAGCCCCAAACCCCTAAAGCGGTCAAAATAGGCTATTGTCTGGAGAGCCGAACAGTACGTCCCAGCTCCCTTGAGGTGCTTCAAATGTCAGAAATTTGGACACCACAGGGACGCTTGCAGAGGACGACAGACATGTGCCAAATGCGGAGAAAAAGAACCAAATCATAAAAAGGAGGAATGCTTGAAACCACTAAAATGTCCAAATTGTCAACAGGATCATCCGGCATACGCAAGATCTTGTGATGTCTACAGGAAAGGGAAAGAAATCATTGAGGTAAAACATAAGAGAAATGTGTCTATATTGGAGGCCAGAAAAATTGTAGAGGTCTATATTGGTGAGACTAGCTATGTCTCTGTTACACGGAGAGCTGAAACAACCAATGAAGATAACAAATATAGAACCCTAATGGAAAAACTCATAAATTTAGATCCAAGCGAGTGGACAAAATTCCAGGCAGAGCTAAAGAAGGAACACGCCAATAGTACTCAACAAACATACCTAATGGAAGTTCCAGCTCAGATTAATAAAACCCATGACAAAATAAAGAATGAAAAAGAAATAACCAAAAAAAACATCATAGACACAGACCACTCTTACCAAAAGACAAAACCTGCAATGATCATCAATCTGTCTTTCAACTTCTAAAATCGATAAAATTGGGAAAAATAATATACAAAACCCCGAATCAAACAAGAACAAAGAAGAACGTCTATCACAACCCAAGAGAGACCATACCCCAACTTCCTCACGGGAACGTCTAAAGTCTTCAAATCTATCAAGCCAACTTACAGAACAATCAAATTCAAAGATTGACACGGAAAACAGGTTTAGTTTTTTAGAAAGGATGGAAACCGATGAACCGAGCACTAAAAACAAGTCAAAAAAGAGCAATAACTCCAATTCGGACAAATTACACATCAAACAATGAAATTACAAAATAATGCAATCGTGCAGTGGAATTGCAGAGGAATCCGGTCTAATTATGAGGAACTTCAACAACTTCTGACCAACCATAACCCCAAAATAGTTTGCCTACAAGAAACCTTCTTAAAAGAAACAACCTCCATTAAATTCAAACAATACCATATTTATTAATACTACATTGGGCCTTTTTTCACTGCAAATAAAACTGGTAGTGAAAAAGTACATCAATTGGCTATGCAAATGAATTAGTTTATTTAATATAAATAAATAACTCATGCCAGATAGAAACATTTGAAACCATTTACTCTAGTAAGAATAAACAAGCTGTGGTTTAAGGACGTTATCCTCAAATTATGTTTACAAAGTATATATATTTAATATATATATGTGCAAACTGGATTTGGCATTAAATGACCCATAGTGGTTGATATGCCATAAAACCCCAAAGAACCAAACAACTCTATACTAAACGCATCATTATTTTTACTTTGTTTACTATATGGACCGCTATTTTCTATACTGATCCCAATACAGATCACTACACGGTGGTTACTTTTTGAGTGAGTATTATTGAGCAAGTACTATTAGTGCAAGTGATATTCGAAGGCGTCTGGCACCAGCATTGTTCAATAGCATACTATAGTTGTAATGCTCCTTGTAGTAGAGACTTTGTATCTATGATTAGAAAGTCTCTACTATAATGAGCATTACAAATTGGCAACATGTGTTCGTTGACATCGCAAAACTTTCTTTGCATATCTCCTTTGTATATTTTTTTCGTGTAGCATATGTTGAAATATCTTTTTAATACTCATGATCCTATATTGCTCATCAAAATTTCCAGTCGCCACCATTTTCTGTTAAGTTGCTCATCACCCACCCAACAGTTGAAATTGCCAAGGTTGGGGAACCCTGATCATGGTTCTCCACAATTTCCTGTCCTTTGTAGCTCTTAATATATTTGTCTCGTATCTCTTAAACTTGCTTCTGCTATGCATTTACTAGAACTCACTAAGTTTCTTATGTATTGTTTCCTTGTCCCCCTTGCCTCTGATCTCTCCTGTGAGTATCAGATTTTCCGATTCCTCTTTCCTCCTTATATGCCCTAGAAACTTCAACTGTCTCTTTCTGATGTGCAGTATAAGTTTCCTTTTTGTTTCTATTTTCTCCAAAACCTTGTCGTTGCTCATATATTTGGTCCATGGTATCCTCAGTATCCTTCTATAGAAGCACTTTTCTGTTGATTCAAGTTTTTTCTTCATTCAGTATTCTTTGTTTTTCTGTTTAACATTCTGCTTAGCTTTTGGAATGCATTTTGGATAATATTCAACGTCACACTTTCCAACAGTTTTAGAGTTAAATAAAAGCCTCTTTTTACCAATTTTTAAATTTCCACTTTGAAATTGCCAACAGTTGGGGAGCAGCATAGACATTTGAAACTGGGTCTCTGTAACATGCAACAAAACCCCAAGCATTGCATTATTGCAAGAAAGTCAAAATTAGATATATTTACTTAGGAGCTTAATATAAAGGATGGGTTGTATCTTAATTGAGAGGTCAGAAATTGTTTTTTTTTTTTTTTTTTCCTGATATACAAATAAGTGTGAGAGCAAAAAAATCATTTGAATGGTCAAAAATTTATAATTTGAATAAAGAAATGTTTTTTCAGACACTCAAACACTTCTGCAGGACTTCTTGAATGTATTTTGCTGCTTCTTTTACTATTTTATAAATATTAACCCTGTAAATCCTTATCAGTCCCATGATCAAGTATGGTCATAATGTTCCTGTGTATCTGATCAGTTCCCCACAAATACCTTAGTTGTATGCAAATGTTTGAGTCACTGTGAATGATCTCCCTGTCCACTTAGTGACATTGTCAAACCATTTTTTCCTTAACTGCCTCTTTTTCTTTCCTTCCTTTGCCTAAGATCCATTTAGTGTGGGGCTAACTACTTGAAACTGTTACTAGGGGATACTCTCCGGGACTATAAATATTCTGTGATGATTTTTCATAGCTTACTTTCCACTTGCACATCAACATGTAAGTCTCTTGCGTGAAAACACGCTTCCCATTGGGAAACACATTAACAAACCACATACACACACATACATATACACATTCACTTACTATGCATCCTTTGGACCAAAAAGTTTTTAACCTTCTTTTGTCACATTGTCTTTGTCACTTGTATATCTTTTATGTTAATACATTATCATTTGTTTGTACATGTTGGTTCTTGTCATTCCTTTGCATTCACATGGACTCACATACTGAGTCCTCTATTTTTTTTGGGGGGGGGTATTCCAGAAGACAACGTTATTTCTCAATTCAAATATTGACGATATAACTGTCCGCAACATTAGTCATTTACAAAATGTTTCATAAGTCCAGTAAGTGTTATCTGTATTTCTAGTATTTATTGGCCTCCTTCCTAACCTTTTCTTCAGTATAGTGTGGAACATCAACATTTTAATTGTCATTTTTGTCTCTTTGAGTTACATGTGCTATTCATTTTAGTTGCTGCTGCTATTGTAAGTTCTCAAGTGATGTGTTTTCTATTGTAACAAAACTTAAATAACTTCTAAGTATTTGTAAATTAACAAATCAAATCTTTAAAAAATTTGCAAATTTTGTGTGTTGGCAATGTCAACATTAAAGCATAGATTGTAAAAAATGTGGCTTGGTTCCCGTCACTTTCCTATACCCATAAGGTTGCCTCTCTGTCTTATCTATACTTGGTAATTGTTCAAATGAGCTATTTGCTGTGGTATATAGAATTATTTTTTATTTTTATTTTTTTTTTTTTAAATTTAAGCACAGCACTAGACAGGTGTTGAGATCTCATCAATTTACAGTTGAGCTGGTTAGATGTAGGTGTAAATTCTATGCTAACAGCTTATTTTCTTGTACTTCTTGCTTGCGTAACTCCCTTACGGCTTCATACTTTTGAGCCAACTTTAATGTGCCAAAATTTAAATGCAGTATCAATCGCTATCTATTATCCACCTGATTACTCTCTTCTCTTTCTGTTCATCATTAATGTTTCTGTTTCTAATTCTTCCATATTCTTTAGCCCCTTGTGTTTTAGTGAGATTACTGCCTTGCTTGGTGATTCTGATTTTTGTGTGGGGGGGTGATTTTTTTTTTTTTTTTTAAGACTGTTCCCTATAATGTAATTAGATTCTTATGTATTGTTTTGGAATTCCATATATCTTCATCAGAATTCTTATTTTTATTTTTTAGCATTTCCTTTCTGGAAACCATCCATAAATACGATTGCTGACCATTATGTAAGAGAAGCGTGCAATATGATAAACCACCCGAAATGTCTTTCAACAGGTCATGCGACTCGAGGCCCACATATGAAAATGCTGAGGAGAATTTTTGTAAGTTTGGGTTCCATATTTCTTATAGACATTCAGAATTTTTAAAAGATGAAGAGACTTTTGATTCTACATCTGCTGAGGATACCAGAGCTTGAACATGTGAGCAATGACAAAGTTTTATAGAAAATGGAAACAAAATTCTTGATCCCCTCAGGATGCAGGCGATCATGGCTTTCCCCAATTTCCTGTGCTTTGCAGCTCTTGATAAATTTTTTTTCTTTTTTTTCTATTTCTTCCAAACTCTTTTCCACCATCCACTCAAGCTTACTAAGTATGTTATGCATTTTTTTCTTTTGTCCCTCTTGCATCCTGGTTATGATGTTAAACTACATCTGGCAGCAAGGCTTCTGTTTGGGAGGTTTTGAGGAGCATGGAACCACCTCTTAATTTCTGTTGTTCCAAGGTGCACCCAGATCTGTGGTGGTAGCACTTATTAGTGCCCCAGCAAACTGGTGTCAAAACGCTATGGAAGTATAAAAATAAACTTTTATGGTGAAAATACCAGCAATATATTTTTGAAAATAAATTATCAGCAAAAACTCTCTATACAAAAATATGTCAATGAAAGCTGATCTACAAACTGATTTCTTACAAAGTATACATATTCTATTCATATGAACACATCCTAGAAATGATGTTGGCATTAAATGACATATTGAGTTTGATATGCCATAAAATGAAATAAACCAAACCAAACCTGTCTCTCTTGACTTCAAGCTGTGTTGTGAGTATCATCTTTTCCAAGCCTTCTTTCCTAATGTGTCCTAGAAATTTTAGCTATCTCTTCCTGATACTAAGTACAAGTTTCCTTTTGTTTCCATTTTCTCTAGCACTTTTAGTCCATTGTACCTCAGCATTCTTCTGTAGAACCACATTTCTGTTGCTTCCAGTCTCATCATTTTTTAGAAGATTGTCCAGCATTTACTGTCATATAGGACAGATATTTGAATTCAAAGCCATACGTAACCCAGGCCTAGCATATACGATGCAGCCAGTGATATGATTATGGAGCTCACAATGACTGATAAACTTACAATGATGATGAAGATGTGAAATGACTGTCAATATTGTCTGTACTAAAATTTCAGTGACATCACCACTTTTTTTTTTCTGTATAAAACTTTCACTGCCAATATGTTATTGTATTTTTGCATCACTTTAATAAATGTAAAAGCACTCTAAGTTATAATTTTCAAAGAAAATGGGGCAATGGTTTACCAAACAATTTCAGAATGTGGCATTTCAGATGTCTTCAAATCATCAGCCATTGATGAAGTATCAAGCAGACATCTAAAAGATGTAAATCATGAGTTTTTACCTGTGGTTTTCTCTTACTCTGCATGACAACAGAAAACAAACACTTATACTCAGAATCAAGAAAAGAAAATTGAAATTTCTTGGACAGGAGGAAGGAAGGCTTGGAAAATTTAACCATCACAGGGCATACTGAGGAAAGATGGGAGAAGGCAATGAGCCACTTACCTGATAAGCTTGTTGGGGTTGGTTGGTAACTTTTTTTTTTTTTTTTAAGGACAGGGAAAAATTAGGCCTAGAACTAGCAGATGCTTGTGACATGTATATATGGAGACAAACTGAGATCCTCAGGCAGGGCCCACCTTGCTGTGTGTGAGATTACTCCCGGTACAGCCTCAACAAAATATATGTTGATGGTGAGCATTAACAAAGGGAGAAAAACTGCTAAGGGTCACAATGGATAAGAAGTTGTGGAGAGCCATAATCACCTATGTTCTGAAAGGATGCAAAACAGAAGAATGAATGTGTTAAGGGCTTTATTTGAAGTCCTCTTTACAAAACCTCTTCATTCTCAGTTTAATCCATTTCTCAGCACTGTCCAATCAAAGTGTAATGTTATTTTAAATACTAATAAGGATACAAGTGTAAATCTGTTATACATAAAATTATAGTGGGATATTAACTTTTCTTTTTCAGGTGAGGTGCTTATATCACTTCCTGTTATCCAGGTGTCCTGCATATATGCATCCTAAGCTCACCTGGATTGACCTCCTCTTTACCTGTTCGGTAAAAAATTCAGGATGTAGAATTAGTAAATACTACATTATTTATATTTGGACTATTGTCCTAATATTTGTTGTTTTTATAACATTTCAGCCATTGTGTCCTCTGGCTTTCCTTGCGTATATATCAATTTGGGTAACCTACATGAAATTCGGAACCGAACACTTTTTAATTTATGGGGGTAGACTGTTCTCATTTCAGTTCCAGTTGAGTTTGTTCTCATCTAGGGATATTGTCTAGTTCTTATTTTTTACAACAAAGATGAGGACAATAGTGTGAATATAAATAGGGTAAATGATGAAAAAAGAGGGTAAATGATGAAAAAAGAGGGTAAATGATGAAAAAAGAGGGAACAGTAGAGAGGAAAACTGGATCAGGAAGTCACAACAGAAATAAGGGTCATCATCATTAAAGTTAAATACTTTATTTACATTATTCAGATGATTGTCTTCATCTTTGTCACCATATTTATCACAATGTTTCGGCCTTCTTCAGGTGGTTGGAATGTTGAACTGAACCCTTTATTTCACTCACTGGGGTAGACTGTTCTAGTTCCACATGCCATGTCTAATGGATATCAGTTATCTCCTGTTAATTCCCCTCTCCAAGTTCTCCACTGCATAACCAGGTATTGAACTCGCACTCTTTGGGTCCTGTCTGAGTTCAATACCTGGTTAAGGCAGTGGAGAACTTCGAGAGGTGAATTAACAGGAGATAACTGATAACTGACATCCATTAGACACGGCACGCGGAACTAGAACAGTCTACCCCAGTGAGCGAAATAAAGGATTCGGTTTGGCATTCCAACCACCTGAAGAAGGCCAGAGGCTGAAATTGGCTGAAATGTTGTGATAAATATGGTAAAAAAGATGAGGACAATCATCTGAATAATGTAAATAGAGTATTTAGCTCTAAGTTAAAATGATGATCCCTCTTGCTGTTGTGACCTCCTGATCCAGTTTTTTTCTCTATTGTTCCCTCCTTTTTAAAATTATTCACCATTTTCTTGATGGCTCTTGAATGGACTTTGAAGATGAAAGCCAGAGCATGAATGTTAAGTACCATTACTGAAGGCATGAATGACCATTTTCCTCTCGCCATTGCTCAGTTGAGATGACATAAAATGATTTTAACCTGTTCTTTTTCTAACTGAATAACTTAGTGTTTTTCAGTGATTCTTATGCCAAATAGTGTCAAGATGGCTAAACGTCTTATCTGAAAATGTGGAAAAAAAGCTCAATTAGTTTAGTAAGTTTTAGATATTTTTTGTGGGATGGGCAATTATCCCATGCTGTTACACGATTTGGACATTCCAACCACCTGAAAAAGGCTGGAGCATACAATGGCCGAAATGTGATAAATATGGCGACAAAGATGACAATAGTCCAAATAGTGTACATAATACCTCATCTCAGAAATATAGACAGATAGTAAATTTAGTACATAAGAAAAGGTAATTGAACATAGAATAGGCTGCACATATGAATGTCATGCATTTTACCAAACCCATTCAGAAATATCTAAAATGTCCGCTGTATATGATCGCTTTCTATGATCAATGGGTAAAAATAGCTTTGAGCAAGTGAAGCCTTGTGAACTGGTGCTACAGAATCACAAAAATAGAACTGTGCCAAATAAAAGTAATTGCATCACTTGACTACTTTCAGTGGCAGGAACAACTCAAATGGATATCACATGTAATTCAAAGAGAAAATAATGACAAAATCAAGTTGTTGATATTCTGCACTGTTAAAATAAGATGTTAGGAAGGTAGACCTCCATTGATACTGGAAAGAGCAATAACTGCTGCTGGGCTTGAGAAATCTATTTTCCTGAAAAATTGTTTTAAGAGAAAGATTTTATAAATTTCAACAAACAGTAGTATTGGTTGCTTGCTCAAGTGATGTCAAGTGTTTCCTTATAAGGAAACGCTAATATTACCATTACCTTTAAAACCTTGTGACTTTGTTGATTTACCAGTCACCAACAATCAGTTTTCTTCAATCAAATCCAATGTACATGATAACATGGTCATGTGACCCATAATTTTTCTGAAATCCATCATGTGAGTAAAAAGTTTTAAGAAAAATGGAAATAATGACACTTATACTTAGAATCAGAAAGAGATATTTGTATTTTCTAGGATTAATCTGAGTGCTATATGTCATACACAATCACATCACTTTCAGTTCATGACTGAGTAGGCTGAACATTTGCCTGCAGAGGGTTGCTGTTTCTTTCTGTGGTAGACTGGTTGCCAGCCAAGGCTATAGGATCCAGTCTGATCTGCAATTCAACCCATAGCTGGGATGAGAAGAGGTAGATTCATACCTTTCCTAAGGGTATTTGTGCATAAATGAATATAAAGACCCCGACTGGAGTTTGAACTCTGCTCTCTGATTTCTCATTTTGAGTCAATACCCCTTACACCACCTGCACATCCATAGGATCCATAATGAAAAAAGTAGTTAGAAAATTTGACCCTCATAAGTTTTTTTTTTTTTTTTTCTTTGTAGTGAAATCATTGGATAACTGTTCTGAAAAATTAAAATCTTCCAGTGTATGAGATAGAAAACTGTATTGTAAACTTGACAGTTGTGTGATTAACCTGCAGGCAAAGATTAAAATTTCTCTTTTTCTTTTTCTTTTTTCTTTGTTTTTTCCTTTCTTTTTTTTTTTTCTTTTTTCTTTTTTTTAAATGGAAAACTATATGTTTTTAAAAATAGTTTTTACTGTATTGTATTTTATTATGTATTGTTTTATTAATATCATTACATTATATTGAATAAAAATGTGCTGCCTCTCTTTGGCCCTAGAATTTTGTGCCACTGTTATCGGGTTTTAATCTGTTGCCACTGCTTGGACATTAATTAAAACCTTTGAGTCTAAGCTTGATGAAACCTACACTCAGATGCTGACAGCTATACTTAATGTCTTGGAGATAGCATCCAAGTGAATTGCCATTCTACAAACCAATCTGTAATATTTCTACAATCTTATGCACTTTGCAGGACACTACTGGTGAGCAAAACCAGAACTTGTAAGTGATCTACTGCTCTGGACACCTAGCTATGGTGCAAGACTGGTCTCCCAGCAACCACCTATATTGACCAACTATGTTATGACACAGAATGCCACCCTAATGTCCTGATCTTGATGCAGGACCGTGATGGTTGGCTTGATAGACTCCTGAATGTCCAAGATTGCTCGACTGAATAAATATATATTGAATAACATACAACAGAAAATGTAATACAGATCCAAAGGGCTTATGGTGATATCATGTTGAAATGCTGGTTCTTGTACGATCACTGAAGTTAAGCAATGTTGAGCTTGGTCAGTACCTAGATGGGTAACTGCAAGTGAATATCAGGTGCTGTAAGTTTGGATGTGTGTGATTTTAATAGAGAATTGCCCAGAATATGTTCACATACACACAAATACACTTGGGAAAGATATGAATCCACCTCTTCTCCCCTAGCTATGGATTAATTAGTAGGACTTTATCATTATCTCCCCCAAATTTTTATTTCATGGTTTTAGTTAACGTGCAAAAGGTTTATAACTCGTTAAAGAAATTAATCAAAAATTTGAGTGGCTTCTGGTGATATCACATTGAAACACTGGTTCCTGTATGATCACTGAAGTTAAGCAACATTGAGGCTAGTCAGTATCTAGATGGGGTCTATTTGGGAATACCAGGTGCTGTAAGCTTGGATGTGTGGGTAGTGCAATGAAGAATGGTGGGGAGAGCAGTTCCAAATCCAGTTTGGTTTGTTATATTCACTTATGCACAAATACCGTTAGAAATGGTATGAATCCCCCCCCCTCAATATCTGTAAGACTTGTATCGCTAAATCATTCTTCTTCAAAAAAAAAAAAAAAAAAAATTATAATCTAAAATATTTCTGGCTTTAAATAATCTTTAAAAGGGTTGATAAACCATAAACCCAATTCATCAAAGTACACTGGAATAGCAAAAGATAGATTCTAAAAAAGTATTACAAGATAGAATTTCACTAGAAAAAAAGTGATGAACTGCCATGTAAATTCTGTCCTCTTATATAACTAAATATTGAACCTTTTTTTGACATAGCCATAACAATTATTTCATTGTCATGTAATAGGCATAAGAAGCATTAGAAGTAAGTGGCATTATCTGCATCTTTTGTCAAGGCCAGATGCTAAAAAGTGGCATGTGAAGCTCTTCCGTTGCAATTTTTTTTTTTTTTTTTTTTTTTTTTTTGCATAATAAATCAACCTTGCATCTTTGCAGAAATTGGAAAAATAAATAAATCAAATTCTCCAAAATAATTTTCCAAATTATCATCGTTTCTAACCAAGGGAAATAACTTGAATCGATCAGAACATGGTATATTTTTGAGAGTTTGATTATTTTATATTTAACTTTAGTCACAAGTTAAAAATATTTAATGATGAAAAATATTTTTTTCTAATTCAGTCAAAGATTACTTATAAAAAAAATATATTAATTTAGTTGCACTACTGAGTCATCCAAAGAAATGGTTGATTGGTTCTATAAGCAAAGCAATTTAGTGATGATTTATTGGCTTAGTTATATTTGTTTAGTGGCATATCAATGACTATGCGTTAATTAATGCTGAATTCTAAATATTTTTTATACAGTTTTATGGATTCAACTATAGATATTTTGTACATAATTTTATGCTTACAGGGTAAACCAGTTTTTTTTTTGTTTTTTTTTTTTTCTCCATTGATCTATAGTTTGTAGATTGTCTATTGTAGGTGTTATATATTTTTACATAAACTCATTTCTTTAAGGTCAGACATTATATTGACGGTTTCACTATTTTCACAAAGTTTTCTTAATGTTGTTTTCCCTGTAGTATTTATATTACCACCATAAAGTTACTTCCCTGGGCTTTTTCTTTATACTTTATAGTAATTATTCAGATGAGCTTTTCATTATGGTACCTAGACTTTATGAATTTAAGTGCAGTACTAGATTACCAACGTGGTCCCAGCAGTTTACAGTTGAATTGGCTTGACCCTAAGTTCTTTGTGAAATTTCTTTTCTCACACTTCTTGATTATGGAACTCTCTTTTGCTATCTTGCTTTCCAGATAGATTTGACCTTCAAAAATATAGATGCAATGTCAACTGTTATCTGTGATTTACTGATCTATTGTTCTCGCACCTCACTAATGCTTTTGTTTTCTAATTCTCTCACATCCAGTAGCCCCTTGTGTTTTAGTTAATTTACTGCCTCAACTGGCGTAAATTAGATTTTTAAAAAAAAAGAAATAAAAAAAAGGACGGTGCATCAGCTAAGATAAAATTTTTTCCTTTTCTTTCTTCATTTTGTATGTATGTTTTGTAAGTAAAGTGTTGACCATGTTTTCCGTAGTCTCTGAATATGGAATCCAGTGAAGTCTGTAATGTCTTCAATATCAGAGGTTGGCAGTGAAGATATTTTGGGAGAAAAAACAAAATGGCTGCCTTTATACACGTCGGATTGAATATTTTGAGCTTTCTGATTGGTTAACCCTTCTCTCGGTGGACTCTAAAATGAGTCAGCTCATTTTGGCTAGCTCACTAGTACATAGTACCCAAAAATTCTAACAAAAAGCATTGTTTCTAAGTTTTTTTATTTTATTTATTTTTAATTTTATTTTATATTTTTTTTTTACAGTTGCTGCTACAACATGGTACTATTGCTTGTGGGAAAAAGCTTCCATACCCAGGACGCCTGGCCAGTATTCACCTGATAACACTGTATTCAGTTACATTTTTCTTTCTTCTGCCTGCTCTTTGCTACCAAATGAGGCACTCAATTTACTTTCTTGAGAACCTAAAAGACAGGGATCAGCAAATTGAGATGTTTAATGCTGAAAATGACAAACGAATCCAGCAAGCTAACTTATATCTACAAAATGTCTATAAGGCAGGTGGCAATTCTGCTGAAACCCAGGGTCTTGGCAACACAGACACGTTAATTTCTGAGATGGACAAACAAGCAATACCACATTTTCTGAATGAGCAAGAACCTCGTGTCGACATAGCCATAACAATTATTTCAGTGTCACGTAATAGGCATAAATTTGACAGTTATGAACCCCGTTACCTCACCCAGACTGTGTGGCACTATCTTCATCTTTTGTCGAGGCCTGATGCTCAACATCGGAGTGTGAAGCTTTTCCTTTGTAATGTTGACAACGATCCTGCTACCTATCACGAGCTGCTTAATCTCTCCTCAATTGTACACACCTTCCAGCGCTTCCCGAACAAGTTTGAATTCCACATCAACGTCTTTGAGAAAGAAAAACAAGATTACGTTTATTGCCTGAATGCCTCGCTTTCCTGGAACCCCAGCTTTGTGCTGCTTGTTGAAGATGACAGCCTGCCACGTGATGAGCTTTTCCCAGTCATGAACTATGTCTTGGACTATTTTGCCTCAGATAAGAAAGGACACAAAACGACGTTGATGTTCCCGGACAAGTGGTACATGAAACTGTACCATCCTGAACGTCTTCTTGGTTACTGGAGCATGGAAATTGAAAGGATACCAGAACTGGCCTCTCTGAGTCTCCTGTTTGGTTTACTCGTTATCTGCCTCTACCAGTGTCTTGGGCTTAGGGTCACTATCTTTACAAATATTAATGCAACTTGGTTTTTTCTCAGCCTCTACTTCTGCTTGGTTTTTATTGCTATTGGTCGCCAGAACTTGCTGGAGCTACGTCGACTTTCAAAATATTTCTTCATGTTAACGCCAGCTCCTTCCTGTTGTACACCCGCTATTCTGTATCCCAGTGCTGGTGCTAAGGCTGTTGTGGACTACTTGTCAGCTACTCACTGCAAGGCAAGCTTTGCCAAAGATATGGCACTTGAAGAGATGCGATACAAGCTTGGCATGAAAGCCTATCTTTTGCAGCCAAACCTTTTCAGGCATATTGGGTTGTACTCGTCACTGCGGACAAAGATCCTTAGTCCGTCTGTTGTCTGAGAATTCTGATGCTTATCTTGTCTGCTTTTTTTTTCTCTTTGCTGGGTGCAGAGTTTTAACTCCTGCATTTTGCTAAAATCAAGTAAGCATAGTTGACTTTACTTCATAAAGAGACAACTCCTATTTGGAAAGATTTTTTTTTTTTTTTTTTTTTCAAAGATTCCCTAAAATTATCCACTTTTAAAATAATGCACCAAATTTTATATTGGCATAATTTATGGAGGGGTACAAAAGTTTATTATGGCTTTAAAAACGCACATTTTAAATAAATACATAAGCTTATAATATACACAAATATATTAAAATGGGAGGAGGAAGAGCAAGGAAAAGAAATGTGTCGTAAATCAAAAAATTAGAACAAGAAAAAACAAAAAAGGTGCAACAAAAGTGAAGCCAATTTTTTATTGTTTGCCCTTCAGAGTTTAACCGAGGACAAAACAAAGATTTAAACATTGTGCACGAATTTATATTTCATCTACAACTGAGCTCTGAAGAGTGAGGCGTGATAACTGGTTAGCTTTTTATTTTATTAAAATTTATTCTCATTTATTTTATTTACACTATTTACATTGTTCAGACTGTTGTCCTCATCTTTGTTGCCATATTCATGATGTTTCAGCTGTTGTCTGCTCCGGCCTTTTTCAGGTGATTGGCATTTTCAATCCTTTATTTTGTCTACTGCAGTAGATTGTTCTAGTTCCACGTGTCATGCCTCTTCTGGATGACTCGGTTATCTCCCTTTAGCTCAACTCTCCAAGTTGTTTTATTTTGACTCTGCAATAGCCAGATATTGAACTCTGAACTCTTTGGGTCAACCCTTTTATGCATATGTGGATGAAAGCGTTGGGTCCTCAAGGACACATAGCCTAGTGAATAAAAGCGTTGGTTGGATCCAGTGATTTGACCCAAAGAGTTGTGAGTTCAATACCTGGCTACAGCAGAGGTGGATGAAAAAACTTGGAGAGTTGAGTTAAAGGGAGATAACCAAGATATTCAGAAGAAGCATGGCACGTAGAACAATCTACCCCGGTGGATGAAATAAAGGGTTCAGTTCAAAATTCCAATCACCTGAAGAAGGCCAGAGCATGCAACAGTTGAAACATCAGAACAATGTAGTGTAAATAATTACAATACCTCATCTCAGAAATATAGACAATTATTTTATTTAAAAAATTTTTTTGACAGAGTAATTTTCTTTCTTTGTTCTTCAGTTGTATTTGTATATATTATATGCTAGTATATAATTTTTACAATGTCTGATTTTAAAGCCATAATTTTTATATTTGTTTTATTATGGAGAATGAAAGTCTGCTGTGATAATTGAGTCACTATTATTTATTTATTGTTGATTATTTAAATTATCTACCAATATAGGCCCACATAAAAGAAACTCTAAAAAGTTTTATTACTGCTGGTAAATCACAGATGACTACCACTTGAATAATACTGACTTGAGAAATTGGATTTGACAAATTCTCGCTGGGTGCCTGTCCCTCTGTATCCAATTAAGCAGTAAAAACCTTAAAACAACATGACACCAATCTCTAATCATACGATAATTTGCTTTTGGCTCTGAGCATCCAACTCTTAAACAAACACTTTCCCCCACTCGTCTTAAATATGTGTTTACAGCCATATCACATTGAAAAACTTCTTGTATGACCACTGAAGTTAAACAATGACAAGGCTGGTCAGTATGTAAATGGGTGACTGGTTGAGAACACCAGGTGCTGTAAACTTGAATGTGTGGGTGGTGTAATGGATGATCAATTGGAAATTGGAGAACCGAGTTCCAGTTCCAGTCAGGTTCGTTATATTCACTTACACACAAATACCCTTGGGAAAACTATAAATCCACCTCTTTTTCCCTCAGCTATGGATTAATTAGAAGTGCTTGTATCTAAATCATTATCTCCCCAAATTCTTACAATCTGATAACATTTTCTGGCTTTAAAATAACCTGGAAAAAGGTTGATAATCCATAAAAAAATCAATTGACCATCATTTTAAAATGAAGCTTAAGGAATCTCTGATATCTGCCTTTGTGTTGGCATCCCTATGATAATGAAAATCCTGTGTTAATGTCTCTCTCATGGTGGATATATCAGGTAAATATTAGCAATGTAGTAACAAGACTCTTCAGTTTGGCTTCCCGATTGCATACCTCCAGAGATGGCAACAAGTCATTATACTTGCATACCTCCAATCATTCTCAAATGAACACAAAGCTGAATATCACTTACCATGTATTCAATTGTGAAAGCAGAATAACATACATTACATTTTATTACTTCAAAACTCACAAGAAAATTACATTTCAGCATTAAATGACCCATAATGGTTGATATACCATTAAACAAACAAATGAATACTTTTGAACCACTTCTTTGCAACTACTTCTGTCATCCATAGCTCTGCTCAGGTCTTTCTCTCTCTCATTCTGGTGTCATCTATAAGTTGATCGATGAAACATTTTGTTAAATCTTTTTCCATAATTTAGATCTCATAGTATCAGCTGATGCACAACTTCCTGTTTACATCTCCACTAATAGGTATTAAACCTCACTTATGTTTCACAAACTGTATCCATGACATTTGATGGGTTCCCATACAAGTCTTTATTGGATATGTGCTGTGTTCAGCTGACATTTAGTGCTGCTGCTGTTTTTTCTTGTATTTTTTTTCTTTTTTTTTTTTATTTATTTATTTATTTTGCAAGTGATTTTGTTAATGTCAAACTGCTTAAATCTGTATAACAGAATTCTTTCTACTATCGACCTAAAGCATTGCATTTTCAGATTTTTTTTGTCTTCCAGATGATATTTATTTTTGAGAGTACTGTCCATGACATTGCAAATATCTGCCTTATTATGATCCCAGAAATACTTGAAATATAATCCTAAAGAGCATTGGGCTAAATTTATTAAATTATATTAGAATGAGGTTAAAAATTTATTTCAAAGCATGAAGCAGTCAAAAAGTAACGTAATTTGTTTTATTATATAAGAAATAAGGAAGACAAACATATACATCAGATATAGCTATACATCATGGGTTCACATCCCTACTTCTCAAAATAGTCACCACGTCTTTTAATGGCAGTGTTCCACTGACAAATGAGGACATGCATCCCTGTTTAGCTGCTAGTGTAGCAAATTCCTTGGTGCAGTTTTCATTTCTTCTTCATCTGACTTAACCCCTTCAGACTTCCATATCTTTGGCCTGAAGGAAGAGACACTGAAGAGTGAAAACTGATTTCTGTAAGGAATTAGCTATATCAACAACCAGCTGAGTTTTATGAAGCTGAGATACACTTGCACAAATACCATTGAGAATGTTGCAAATGCATCTCTTCTCTCCCAGCTATGGGTTAAATAGCTGGGTAAACTGAGTGGTAGCCAGTGTCCTTCAACTAAAAGGCTTGCTATATTCATGAAAATGTGATTGTTTTTTTTTTCCATCTGGAGAACCCTCTGCTCTGGCTGTTGAATTCAGTATAAGTATTTTAACTTAGGGAAGGTTACTGAAGAATAATCACACGATAATAAACGATATTACTTAGAACATGAAGAATAATACTTAGGACATGAACAACATGTATAAGATTTGTCAGCAGTGCATAGAGGAAGTAGTCAACTGCTAGAAGTCGGTCAAGTGAATTCTATACTGAATTTATAACTGCAGACCAACACATACAGTATTCACTACTGTGTTTATGGGAATGGAGGCATATCCATTACCATCCATAGGTATGCTACAGCAATAAGAATATAGGAAACCCTCTGTCCTGTGATGCCATGTTATCACTACACTTGCTGCACACACAGCAATGGAACCAAGTTTTGATTCACTGTACTCGATGGCCATTGACCCCCCCCCCCCCAAGAATATTCCTGTGCCTATTGATAGGCATTGTTTTTAATCCAGCTGTGTGTTTAGTAACTGTCCTTGCCAGAAAAGCCTGGTTTGGAAACTGGTTTAGTTGCTAATGGTCCAACCATGCAACAGCTAGTACTGGGAAGTGATATCAGTTTCTTCTAAAGACACTAGATATATTTCAGTACTTTCTTCTCAAATGCGGATTGTATTTGTCTCCTTGTCAAAAGAACCCTTTGTTAATCAATGCATAAAAATATGCACACACCAAACTCTTCAGTTTGGGCACCTTGAGGTCGTGTAATGGTTAGCAAGCTTGTCTCGCTAAAACAATTATGACTAGGCATGTTCAATCCTCACTGGGTGCTCCATACTTTCGGCCTTGTGCCACTTCTAAGCTACACTTGGAAAATCATATGACTCTTCAGTCCAATTATTGTTTATGATGCATCATTATTTTTAATTTTCCATGATGGTTTGAGAGATGCAATATCCATGTAGATATAGAAAGGCCTTGTTGATGAATGTGACCTGACTAACATGTGCTCATCTGCCAACTCCTGGTTATTCTTGTACTAAACAAATGGCTGGATGGCCTTTTTTATTATCTTGACATTCAGTTGTTGGCCATTTTCCTCTGGTGCCCACAAGTTTGGTCGAATTACGGTGTATTTAAGTTCACAGTAGAGACCATATAAATTCTTATTTTAAATTGATAACTGGATAAAATGTTGAGCAAATCTTAAATTTAGCTGTGATGCATTACTAAACAATCAGTATTTTTTTTTTCTATTTCTTTTATTCCAAAATCCCAAAGTTAGGGGGATGTATGTTATACATAAGTAATTATGGAACTCTGAATTTATCATGGTAACTGACAAAGTATAATTATCAAACAGTGACAAGCAGTAAATGTCTTCCATTATGGCACTCTTTGAGTCTGTTGCTCCATAGTCTCTGACCTGTGGTAGTCTTTACACTGATATTCAGGTTCTTTAAATCACTATAATTAAATTCTCTCCCCTTATCTGTTAGAAGTGCATCAGGAGCACCAAAGAAGGCAATCTAGAATCTGAACACAACACCAATAATCTCACTAGCTTTTTAGTTTTTAATTCTTGTTG